CGACTGATTTTATTGAAAAGCTAGAGCTTATTACACTAGCTGGATTCGGAACGCCCAAAAGATCATGTGTATCAAAAGAAATAGTTGGAGGTTGAGATTCAGGAGCCTCTATATAAGACGAGGTTTCCGATGCGAATACATTTTTATGCCCATATTCGCATTGAGAGGTTGAGGCCTCAACAACGGGTGTAAAATGATGTTTCTGTAACTCTGAGATATCACTCAGATCAAAAGATGCTTGCTGATCATTTTTAAAAGTTAACGAGGAATTATGACCAACAGAATCAAATCCTACTGGGAGAGCAGGGTCGCAAAGAGGCAAAATTGGTGATGACATTGGCTTTCTTTGAATGGACGGGATTTCAGATTCTATTTTTCCAGAATGATTAGGCGATGATTTTTCTTTTTCGATGCTATCAGATGCAGAAAGGCCCAAAAGCCTTGAAGACACACAAGTATGGATTTGCATGCGCAGTCAAGTACACATAAATGCACATAAAAAAGGAAGGATATGAATTTTAAAAAAGCAAATGTGTAGGCATTACAAGTGAGGTTGAGCAAAATCTTAACTCATCAAAATAATACAAGAGGGAAGGATGTTGATTAAATGAGCAAAGCATATCGCAGATCAAAAACCTAAGATGCACATCAACCGACGGCTTGGTTGTGTTAAATGAAAGTGATGGACGTTGGACAAGTATTCAAACTAGTCTATCATTTTTAAAATGCCATTTTACTCATCATGAACGAGCACCAATTAGAAGTGGTGTCACACAAACAAGGAATAAGAAAATTCTACTACCAGTCCTTCATCAGCTTAAACGAAATCGGGTAAATATATCTCATATAAGAATTAAGGCCAGAGACTTGAAGAGTAATCGAGGCTGCAGAAAGGTTCACAATAACTTCTTCGAACAACTCAAAATTAAAATCCCCAAGGCAACCCCCCTTAGATTTCTAATCAGCAGAAATCTCGGTGCAGCTATGCTTGGTTATGATCGAACCAAAATAGTAATCATGGCTTGGAAAGGGCATAGCCGAAGAGATCGACATATGCAAAGTGTACGGAGATAATAATGAAAAATCGAATGGGCATTCGAAAATAAAGTTAACGAAAAAATATGAACTAACTTGTATAAACGTCGTGTGACCGCATTTCCAGGTTGCAAATTCGCTTCTGGGGGCAAAAGTGGTTCCAGAGAATTTTGTGTATCAATAAAGCCTTGTAAGCAAGGGGGGGTGGAGCAACGTTTCAGCCTCATTTCATTCTGCCTAGCCTCAGCCAGTTTAAGCCGACCACTGGTAGATGGGACTCGAAGAAGAAGAGTATGTCCATGGTCTCGGGCAGCTATTTTAGATACTTTTATAACATCCAAACAGGGCTCTTTTCCCTTATCATCGCAGCTACATGGATCATTAGTGTTAATATCACTATTTGTCTTTGTAGAGTTTTCTGCTGCCATTGTCAGCACGTGAGCCACTTCAGTTCGGGCACGCAGTTCACAAAGCCGAGTCGAAAGGACCTGATGCTGACGGGCAAGGCGATTTCGGCAGACAAGTCGACTGATCTGGCGTTCAGAGAAGGCGTCACCACTCACTGAATGCTTTGTTACGTATTTGTGTGGACGAAAGGTTAGACGATTAAAATAGGTGCGAAAAATAAATATACATTATAATCACCTATTAGCATCATTAGCGATGAGGAAAAGAATTTACCATGTCTAATAATTTCCCCTTTACTAAAATCGCTTAGTCTATGTGAGTTTGTGAACACGAAAACGAATAAAATAAAAGCATAATCTGTTTTACGAAGAGGGACTGGGTTTCGATTAATCTCTTGAGATAGCGTTGTTGGGGGGACTTCCATTTCGTATAAAGATGCATAAACGAGAGATTCGCAGAGGACGGCTAAATCTCGTTGTAATGCAGCCATTTGGCTTTTATACGACGTTCAGGTTGACGCAGTCCATGAGGCCTCCTTCGTTTCGGGTGAAAACAGGCTGAGCTTTCGTTCATTATATGATGGACATCATCATAGCTGAAAACCATTCTTGTAAAAGTCTCAAGTTAACACCAGGGCTGCGTAATCTGACACGTCTTGTTTGGTTGATGAGCTTAATTTGGCATGTTGGACGAGTGTGAATGAAGTTAGAAACATATGAAAAGAAGCTGGATTTTGAAGAATCCCTTAATAGATTGATGCTGGCGTACCTTTCATTTTGATTGGGAAGGCGGGTCGAAGGAATTCGTAGATTAGCCTCACCAGATAACGCAGGAGGGTTGCCTTGGACTTGTGTCTGTTGAATTGTGCGAAGAAGACCTCGCCTCACCGTCTTACGACTCCGATGACTCCGTGCTGACCTTTCGTTCATCCTGTGACGGACATCGTCAGAGCCAGAAACCATTATTCACATATAAATCACCAAAAAACACTTAACGAAGAAAGGGTTGCCAGCTGAGATCCTACTTACTTCTTATACCTCCCGTTGCGATCTTAATGAACCATTTAATGAATGTAGGAAACTAAATGACAACTATTTCTGGCTTCTAAATAGAATGATAGAGATAGAAGTAAAGCAAACAGGAAGAACCGATGGTAAGAGGAGAAGATCAGACTAAGCTGGAGCTTGTTTTTGAACCTTAAATTGTCAATTAATTCGGGGTTGTTGCATACACACGTAAACACGCGTCCACGAAGCTGTAATAAGATCCAAGATTACTGGATCATACTCTAGTTTAGGAGGTATTCACCATATTTCGTTTAAGGTGATGAAGGACTGGTAGTAGAATTTTTCCACAATGATATGAGTAGAGCTGACGTTTCCATTAAATTTAACATTGCCTTGCTTTCCCAAAGTTTTTTTCATCCACAATGGACTGCAGTTTCGACCTCGCATCGGTCTTGTCAACACCCCCAGCGGGAGTCGAACTGTTACAGTGTAGAATGGGAGCTTTACACGTTAACCACTCGGCCACATTTCCACGAGTGCCCTTGGGTCACAGGGCATAATGGAATTCCAAGGAAGGTCAGGCCTTTTGCTATATCATATTTTTTTGGTGGGATTGCCGATGAAGCAAGCATATATTTACTATAACAATCTACTACGTTACTTATTTTCGTATTGGAGTAGAGTTTCGAAACTACCAGTAAATAAATACTCTAGCTTATTTACATGGACAAAAGTTGTGACCACATCTGATCCCTTGCCTGCATCACTTCGACCCACTTAAATGCATGTAGGCCAAGCATATGTCAGCCAACCAAATCATGGAATGGCTTATTAAGATCGAAAAGTGAGGCATAAGAAGTAAGTAGGATCTCAGCTGGTCACCCTTTCTTGGTTTAGTGTTTTTGGTGATTTATACGTAAATAATAGTTTCTGGCTCTGAGCATGTCCGTCACAGGATGAACGAAAGCTCAGCACTGAATCATCGGAGTCGTAAGACGGTGAGGCGGGGTCATCTTCGCAGAATTCAACAGATAAAAGTCTAAGGCAACCCTCCTGCGTTATCCACGAATTCCTTCGACCCGCCTTCCCAAACGAAATGAAATGTACGCCAGTATCAATCTATTAAGGGATTCTTCGAAATCTAACTTCACTTCATATGGTTCTAACTTCACTCACACTCGTCTAACATGTCAGATTAAGCTCATTAACCAAACCAAACGTGCCAGA